TTAGTATCCTTTGATAAAAAAAGTTGAATATTATTTTTGACCTTTTTAAATTGTTTATTTTATCCCATACATTTTTTTTTTCTACTCTTCATACAGTATTTTGTGAAGAGTATTATAGGTTTACTTTGTCTGTCTGTCTGTCTGTCCGATGTCACGTTTTTTGTCTGCACTATAAATCAAAAACGAAAAATAATATCAATTTAAAAATTTTAAGCAAAAATCAAGCTCTATAAGGGGACAAAGCCTATTGATTTTTAACAAATCTGATTAAAAATTGGGGGTTAAGATGGATTGAAATTAAAAAAAAATCCTAAATTATAAACGAAAAGCGATATCTACATGAAATTTTTAGTAAAAATGAAGCTTTATAAGAAGATAAAGCCTACTGATACTGAAAAAAATATGAATATATTGGGGAGTTAAAATATAAAAAAAAAAATCCTAACTGAAAAACGAAAAATAATATAAACTTGAAATTGTTAGCAAACATTAATTTCTAAAAGGAGAAGAAGCCCTTTAATTATAAAAAAAATCTGATTAAATATGGGGGATTTAAGGGGGGTTGAAATTAAAAAAAAATCAAAAATGAAAAGCGATATCAACATGAAATTTTTAGTAAAAATCAAACTCTATAAGGAGTTGAGGCCTATTGATTGTGAAAACAATCTGTTTGAAAATGGGGACTAAGAGGCTCTGTTAAACTGCGAAGAGTATCATTTAGAATGCCAGGCATTATATATCTTTATTCTAGTTTGTGTCTGTGTAATATTATGTATTGTGATTGGACTGTTCTTATAAAATAAACATTTAAAACATTTTAGTTCTTATTTTATTTGGCAATAAAAGGTATTTAAAAAATATATTGTTTATTTGACATCTTTGACAAATTGTGAAAATGATTAAACTTACAATAAAAACTAAAAAATGGTAGGTAAAGTTTCATATTAAATTTTTACACAAAAATCAATGTCAAGCTTTCTACATAACCTGATATATATTTAAAAATAATCTCAAATTATGAAGAAAAGTCAGATTACTAACTAATAATATTTATAGATGCTTTTCAACGTATTAAAAACAAAACAAATATTACACTAACTAAAATATTCATTTATTAATAGTTGTAGTGCTTGAAAACAGTATGATGTTGATAATAATAACTACACTTAATAAAAACTCAAATAATAAAAAAAACAGCGATATTGACTCTTGTACAAAGTTTTGATCCGAACTTATAAATGATACAATTATTGGAAAAAGTGAACACCCATTTTAAATTAGGACGAGCCGCCACTGCTTAACAGATTGATATATAGCTAACAACTCCCTATCAAATGTACTATATTGGATTTGAGCTGGAGATAGTTTTTTGCTAAAAAATGCCAGAGGTTGCCACCCCTTATCTGTGTATATTGTTCTAGGGCAGAACTAATTCCAGTACTGGAAGCGTCACTTATTATAGTCAACTGAGCTGTATTATCCGGATGGGATAAAAGAACTGCTTGTGATAGGCTCTGTTTACACTTTTCAAAAGCAAGTGTAAGTTCGTCATTCCAGACGATCAAATCAGAACCTTTTACCTTTCCACTAAGTAATTTGTTCAAGGGAATTTGGTCTAAAGCCGTGCTTTTAAGGAAGCGATGATAAAAATTTAGCATACTCAAAAATATCGACGAAGCTGTTTAATCGTTGTAGGCTTTGGAAACTGCTGCAATTCATGAACTTTTGTTTCCAATGATTTAATTCCATTTGCTGATAAAGAATATCATAGAAATTCAATTTCCGTAACACCAAATAAGCATTTATTGACATTAATAAGAATACCGTAATCTCTTAATCTTTCAAAAACAATTTTTAAATGATTGTAGTGTTGTTCCTTTGAAGGTAAAGCTATAAGAATATCATCTAAATAAACATAACATAAATCGAGACCTTTTAAAACTTCATCCATAATTCTTTGAAATGTTAGTGCTGCATTTCTTAAACCAAACGGCATGTGAGTGAATTCAAATAGACCAAAGGGAGTTATTATTGCAATTTTGGAAATGTCTTCTGGAGCTACCTTGATATGATTATAAGCTCTGAATAAATCTATCTTAGAAAATATAATTTTTCCACGAAGGTTTTGGGAAAAATCATGCAGGTGTCGTAAAAGATATCGGTCGGAGATTGTACGAGCATTAAGTGAGCGGTAATCCCCGCACGGACGCCATTCCCCATTTTTTGCGGAACCAAATGAGGGGCGAGCAATTCCTAATTTAACCATTGCCTCAAATTCTTGCTTGAATGCTTGAAATTTTTCCCCTGAAAGTCTCCGAGCTTTGTTAGAAACCAGTGATCCAGGTATAGTGCGGATATAGTGTAACTTGGTATGCTTAGCTTCTTTCAAGAATCCTTCCGGCTTGGTTATTTCAGGAAATGCAGTAAGAAGTGTGTGATACTCAGAAGTACCGCTACTTATAGATTTAATTCTGAGATCTTTATTCTGTTCGCAGTAGGTTCCTAAAGACAATTAATAGACCTGTCAGCGAGGAACAAGATGTTTATTGCGAATATCGACCAACAAATTAAAATAAGCTAGAAAATCTACTTCTATTATGGGTTTAGTAACATCAGCCAGGACAAATCTCCAGACAAATTCTCTGCGCAAATCAAAGTCTAAACAAATAGTAATAGGGCCATAAGTATTAATAATCGAACTGTTAGCAGCGAAAAGTTGATAATTGGACTTTTTTCGTCGAGTTTTAGTGTAAGAATATGGAAAAATTTTTATACCATGTGGAAAAAATCCGAACGAGTGTCAACAAGGTATTGAATTTTGGATTTTTTCGGTTAAGAGAAGGCGGCGTGAAAGGTTGAGACAATCGGTTGCCGCCGTTAAGCGCGACTGCCTGAAAAGTTTCCCTTCCCGATTGAGATCGACAATGTGATGAGTGATAGAAGTTACAAGGAGGTATATATTTTATTGCTTTAGAAGCGAACCTTCTGTGATACCAATAAATAATAGCTACATCATCTCTACTGTTGCTTCTGATACGTATACTAGTCCGTCTACTAGGGTCTCTAGTAAACTTTTCTGACATAAAATCATTGATCTTACTCGTTAATTCGCTCACTTGTTGTTTGAGCTCATCAATTTCATTTGGAGTATTAACTATAGAAGCTACCTGAGTAAATGGAGTAGTTTCATATATCTTGTCTGACAATTCAGCTACAACTTCTAGAGATTGCACACTCTGTGTTACGAGAATTGCTTTTACATTTGCTGATAATCTACTTAACCATAACGTACGTAAAAATGCATCGGAAATAATATTACCTGTTAGGCTGCGCAAATGTCTGAGAAATTGTGAAGGTTTCCGATCGTCAAGCTCTTCTTCTTATTAGGTCAAAATAACCTTTGAATTTTTTCTTCTTCTGAAATTGATAGCCTCTGAATCATTTTTTTCTTAAGTACGTCATATTTGTCTTTTTCTGGTCCCCTCGTCCGTCACCATTACATCAAAGCTACCTATCCCAATGTTCAGGTAACAAAGTTGATGCAAAGGATGACGTCATAATGTCAGGAGTTCTACATTATGCCTTGTCCCCTTAAGAATTTGCTCGATAGCGTACACTGTACAGAGCTATGGTCTTGATAATTGTAGACCGATATTAGTAGTTCTATTTTTGGCGTTATAGGGTTTTATACACCAGGAATAATAAACCCTTAAGTCCAAGTTCAACTCGTTGGCAATGACAAGTGACGGCGACTTTTTATCACAAAAAATGCAGCTCTAAACGATAATATTTTCAGAAATTGTTTTTAAAAATGGGTTCAGAGTACGGTAAAGAATAGTGGAAAGTCTATAGTTTGTTTTACTTTTAATGCATAATATTTTAATTGATGATATTTAACAAATATTTAAAAGTTATGGACTTTCCACCATTTTTTTATAGTATTTAAACGCTAAAACGCAAAATACACTGTTTTATTTTTGCCTTAATTATTTCAGGAAACTTGTGTTAAGATTTAAAAATGTACTGTCAATGGGCGCCAATTTGCAACCATACTAATTTGAGACATACGTTTTATTAAACTCATGTTACGTATTGTTGACGTTAAGAGATAGAAATTTAAAGTGACGTCTTCTATAACTTCGAATAAAAAATCGTTTTCTAACCTAAGAAAAAAGTTGAGTTGAGTCTTAAAAAGAAAGTTTTAATATTTTGCATTAGTATTAAGATTATCGCAACGTGCAACATCACAGCTCACAACTCTGAGAGCCAATAAAAAAATGATGCCACATCGAGGCATCCTGTCGCTCTACCGACTGTCGCTCTACCCTGAGCCCTCGGGGATTCGGCGCCTATGATTACTTTCTAAATAAGCTAACAGTGTATTATCATCGCTTTCTTGGTATTCCTTTCTAACTTTTTCATATGCAAATAACCCCGCATCTTTTTGGTTGGGGTGTTTTTACCCTTTTTTAAACTTTACTTAAAAAGCTTTCTCATATCTTTTCACCGAAAATTACCAATTAATTGGCCATTCTCGAGATCGAGCTCATTTAATACTGCATCTTTAGTGTATCGGCAGTATTTTTTGTCCATTGCTTTTTTCTTACTCTCAAACATTTCGATCCTTATAACCAACAATTGTTCCCAAGAATTTTAATTAGATAGGACTACTCTAGGCCAATGTGTTTTCCTCACTTAAACCACTATGTTTTTACTATTACCTAACTTGTTCGTTCAATACTCAATACTTTAATACTTAATGTCATAATCGTTTATTTCAAGATGCTTCCTCTCGGGTCCAGTATTTTTTAGAATCAATGATTCACTTCTATTCACCGTTATAATAATAAAATATATGCACCAAATACAATTCTAGTCAATATTTAATTTAAATTGGTTTAATAATTTACAATCTTACAAATATTCATTGAAATAAATGAATAAAGTGTGTTTGCTATTTTAGAAATTTTTTACATAAATTTTAAAACCTATCAACTTACTCATCAGCAGGAGAGCCACCATTTATATCTAATGTGCCAGAATATAGAAAGCTATCTCCATAATCATCAGCTACAAACGTTGGTCTAATATGTAGGTTACCATCTTGCACATAACTATTACTACGATTATTGGTGTACCATTGGAATTCCCAATTCTAAAACAAATTAACAATTTAAAATTGTATATGCTATTAAAAGAGTATTTTTATATAGTAAGTACTGAATAAAAAATCTGATGTGTCCAACACATGACTTTCCTATCTAGTTATTATAGGCATTTTCCGGTTATTTTGTACAACCTATTGCAGCATCTCTATAAATGTTTAGAGGATAAACTAAATATATACATTTTCCACATACATCTACCTCGAAACATTTTTCTATAGATATTCATTGAAAACGAAAATACAGAAAAATTTAAATTTAGCACTTTTCCATTACGGTCCATTTTAGAAAAATCATATATAAACAAAAATTATAGAAATCGATATCGCAAACAACTTTTAGTTCAACAATTTTCATAAAAATCAGAATTTTGCACATTTTGTCAAATTTCTCGAATACGGACCATTTCAGGAAATTTTGACATAAAACAAAAATTATAGATAATAATATTAGAAGTAACTTTTATTTGAACAATTTTCTTCTCCAAACATAAATAACAGATATATTCCATAAAATATAAAAACGGCCTCCCATAAAGTACCCCCCCAGATGTTCCGACTTTGTCCAAAATCTAATCATTTCACGTCAGGCCGAAATAAACCTTAAGTTTAAAATTTAATGTTTTTTCCTTTATCCGTTTTTGAGTTTTCTTCAAATTTCGAAATTTACACATTTTCTCAAATATCTCGAATACGGTCCATTTTAGAGAAATTATGTATAGAATAAAAATTATAGAGAATTATATTACAAACAACTTTTATTTGAACAATTTTTATAAAAAATTATTTTTTTTACATTTTGTCAAATTTCTCGAATACGGACCATTTTAGGAAAATTTTATATAGAACAAAAATTATAGATAATAATATTGTAAGTAACTTTTATTTGAAGAATTTTCTTCTCCAAACGTAAATAACGAATATATTCCATAAAATATAAAAATGACCACCTATAAAGTACCCCCCCAGATGTTCCGACTCTGCCCAAAATCTAATCAGCTCATTGGACGCTGAAACAAAGCTTAAGTTTAAAATTTTGTGTTTTTATGTGTATCGGTTCATGAGTTATGCGTTATACAGACACACACACACACACACACACACACACACACACACACACACACACACACACACACACACACACACACACACACACACACACACACACACACACACACACACACACACACACACACACACACACACACACACACACACACACACACACACACACACACACACACACACACACACACACACACACACACACACACACACACACACACACACACACACACACACACACACACACACACACACACACACACACACACACACACACACACACACACACACACACACACACACACACACACACACACACACACACACACACACACACACACACACACACACACACACACACACACACACACACACACACACACACACACACACACACACACACACACACACACACACACACACACACACACACACACACACACACACACACACACACACACACACACACACACACACACACACACACACACACACACACACACACACACACACACACACACACACACACACACACACACACACACACACACACACACACACACACACACACACACACACACACACACACACACACACACACACACACACACACACACACACACACACACACACACACACACACACACACACACACACACACACACACACACACACACACACACACACACACACACACACACACACACACACACACACACACACACACACACACACACACACACACACACACACACACACACACACACACACACACACACACACACACACACACACACACACACACACACACACACACACACACACACAGACATCATCGCGAAAATAGTCAAAACGGATTCAGGGGACCTCAAAACGTAAAAATCCGTCAAAAACTCGAAGTCGAAAAAAATCATGATTCCTATACTTTCCTTATATCTCTATACAGATAGGACAGTAAAAATGTAAAATAATAACTTTCAGTTTGAAACTATTACAGAAGAAATTATTTCTAATATAATATTGAACATTAAATCTAAAGCTTTTGGTACTGATAATCTCAATATAAATATATTACTGCTGTTGTGTCCTTTTATAATTCCTTACATTACTAATATTATTAATCAGTGTATTATATCATCTTATTTTCCTCGAAACTGGAAATTTGCAAAGGTAATACCCATTCCGAAAATCAAAACGCCCTTCGAAATGGGTCACTTAAGATCTATTAGTGTATTACCATTGTATAAATGGTATTACCAATGCTATCAAAAATACTAGAGAGAATTATGGAGTTCAAAATCAGAAAACATTTAACTAAATTTAATTTGTTGCCCACTAAACAGTCCGGCTTTCGCAAGGGACATAGTTGCGTGACTGCTCTTGCTGATGTAATTGATGACTTGATTCATGCTGAAGATAATAATAAATTAAGTATCTTAATTTTACTGGATTACTCTTAAGCATTTGATATGCTGAATCATAAACTACTTATGGCAATCACACATTATCTAGGTTTTTATTGTTAGCTCTTTTTTAAATGATAGATTTCAAGCGGTTGAAATAGGTATGAAAAAATCTCAAAAAATTGATTTAACAGTAGGAGTTCCACAAGGAAGTATATCCCGGCCACAGTTATACACCCTATATACCAGTAACTTCCAACATGCACTTAAATTTTGCTACCACCACTTCTACGCAGATTGATTACTTCCTTTAGTCATGACAAAGTAATGGAATCATCTCGGGCTATTAATGCTGATCTTGCTAAACTTGCGGAAATATCATCAGATCATTTATTAAGAGTAAATCCTAGCAAATCATGTGCCGTATTATTTTGTAAAGATTCTTTGAAAAATTTATTAAATTTAAGACTTGGAAGTGAAAATATACCAATTAGTGACGCTGGCAAAAGTTTAGGTCTGATTGTGGACAATAAAGTAAGAGGTTTAAGGCACATATAACTGCCAAATTAAGATTAGCTTATTCTGGGTTAAAGGCTATTTACCCACAAAGACATTTTTTAGATGTGAACATTAAATAAACTTTGTGTGAGATTCAATCGTACTTTGATGAGGTTTACGGTCCTTGTATAGATGCTAGTTATAAAAATCGAATCTAAAAGATTAAAAATTCGTGTATTCGACTCATATATGGTATCAGACGTGGTCAGAGGGTTTCATATCAACTTAAAAACTTAAAATGGCTAAACAAGCACAACCGCTGCACTCTACATTTAGGTTTTCTTTTTAAAATTCTAAAATTCAAAACTCCTTTTTATTTACATCAAAAAATTAAATTTCGAACCGATGTCCACAATATCAATATAAGACGCAAAAATAAGTTTACCATACCGTTACATCGTTAACAAATTTTCAAATGATCATATTCCTATAGTGTTGCTAAAGTTATTAATAGTTTAATTGAATGCAACCTATTTCATGTTTCTGTTACACCCTACACATTTAAAACAAATTATAAAAAATACCTTCTTGAATTAAATTAATTAATTTCGCTCATTTGTTTAGTTATTTACTTTTTCTTTTTGTTTCCTATAAAAACTTTATAAACTATATATCTGTACTTTGGTGGTAAATGATCGTATCTCCATTTTTCATTAAATGGAGATAATGCATGGACTAAAATACCTGAGTCCGTATTTTTTTAGTGGTAAAAAATTGTATGTCTATTATTATTATGTTCTGATATACTACGTTTAGAAACGATAGTATATCCACTTCTCAAAGAGGTAAAAAATCGTATATCCAACATGCGATTATGCGCAGTCAAGTTTTCATAAATGCCAAATAGGTAAACAATCGTAACTCCATAGTTCATATTGGCGGTTAAATATAGTGCAACAAAATGTCAACAAGAGGCCCCAAAAATATATTAAATCTCATAAGAGATCCTAGTAATAACCCCTCTGGTATCCCTAATATGCGAGGTAAGTTGGAAATTATTTTAATAAAAATATTTTTTAAATAATAACTACAAAGTTAGGTTAGGATAAAAAATATTGTTTAAAGAATACGATATCGCTAAAATTGTTTATTAAATGTTAAATTATGATATTTTGCAGTGGATTAGGATAGTTTTAAATGATCCATTTCTAATTGTTTCTTCCTAATTTTCCTTTATCTATTATTATTGGAGATACTACTGTTTACCATTGAGCTTTATTTAAATTTTTAGAAATGCCTAACGTCTCGTCAATCAATGATAGGGATGTTATTCGAGTAAATTCCTTGGACGAATCAGTGCCAGGTAATTAGAAATAGTTTAGATCAAATTGTAAGGTGTAATATTAATAATTAGTAATCAGATAATAATAATAATTATTATTAATATTATCCTAGTCACATCATTAAAGAAACTACAACTTGGTTCCTCCTGTTTTTACTCTTTTTATTTTTCAGCAATTCAGGATAATGGCAATAAATTCGAAGAATCATCCAGCAAGAAGAACGAATAATATTAATAGTTGAGAAAAACCATGTTGATAATGAACTTCATCCATTTGAGAACGATGGTATCAAAAATCCAAACTTCATTACCACAAGACAAGAGGAAAGTATCACAGATGAAGTAACAAACAACATCATGGAAAATAGGTCATACAATTATCAGAGAGAAGAGGAGAGTAATATGGAAAATGAACCTGAACCGTTAAGAGATGCTGATGAAAACAAGACCAATTTTATTCAAACAAACGAGAAGGAAAATGATACCACAGATGAAGAGACTAAGGGCATGACGCAAAATGAGATAAATAATGATCAGCGAGAAGACGAGAATGCCATAGAAAGTGAATCAGTTACAGACCAAGGAAACTATGTTGATAGTGAACCTGAACCGTTTGGGGATAATAGTGATGATGATCCTGAATTTATTCCCACGAGCGAAGACGAAAGTGACAGAGATGAAGA